CGCGCAGCGCGGGAGGCCGGGCCGGCGGAGCGGGGCCTGCGGTGGTCCCCAGCGCGGCCTGCCCTCCTAGCGACCGCAGCCTCACCTGACGTGAACAGCACGATGGCTTTGAGGCAGCTGTACTCGGCCGAGTCGACGTGAAGCGCCTTGAGCTTCTCCACCTGCTCCTGGAAGATGCGGATGTGGTCCATGAAGGCCACGACGCGGTCGGCGGACATGGGCGAGGCGTGCAGGCCCGCGGCGGCCAGCAACGGCGCCACGTGCAGCGGCATGGAGCACTGGGCCGCGTTGAGCACGAACAGCTCGCTCCAGGTGAGGCGTAGCAGAGACACCTGGTCGGTGATCTGCAGGTCCGGGAAGAAGGGGATGTTGCGGGCCCACTCGACGGCGCTGAAGAGCAGACGCGCGGCCAGCTCGCAGATGTTCTCGATGCCCATGATGTTGTTGGGCTGCATGCACTGGCTGCCGTAGCGCGACGTGGGGTAGGGTTCTGCGCGTAGCAGCAGCGAGATGTAGCCGGACAGGTAGCAGTGGCCGTTGAGGGGATCCCCGTTGGTGAGTGCGTATTGGCCTGGATTGGGTTGGGTTGGAGGCATTCTTCCTCGCTGAACCGCTGACAAAAAGAAAGAGAGAAAAGAGGCAATGTGCATCCAGGGGGCTTGCGAACATCCCTGCGCCCGCAGCACACCCGACACAATGCAGAGGCCCTTCCCGCAGCCACTCGCGCCCGGCGCTCGCTCTCACTCACAGTCCACAGCGGGAGCAAGTCTGGGGAGAGGCCCTCCAACTCCCAGGCTCCATAGATCCAGCCATCGCCTGCGCCCCTGGCCACCCAGCCCTGCCCAGACTAGGCCTGACTGAAGGGTCCCTATGCCCATCGTGGCCATAAGGTGACACCCAAAGCCTCCACCACCAAGGAGTAACACACCGTTTAGTGATACCCCACGCACCCCTCCAGAATGAAACAGACTAGGGTAGATTAAAAAAAAAAAAGACAAAACCGGAGAAAGGTGGTAGTTCTAGGCAAATGCCTAGCTACCCTTCATTTGCCAAACAAGCAGCGTTTTGCTGGAAACATTTACACATTCTCTAAAAATGTTATAGGATTATTGTTAAAATAGATACAAGTTACATACCCTACTAACCACTTACAACTTCTGAATAGAAAACAAACAAGTATCCTGCACCTCTCCCCTTCCCCTCCTCCCCATCACCCCAACACAAAGTTCTCACTGTTAAAAGCAACAGAATATGAAAAATTTCAAGAAAAAAGTTGAACTTACAGTAGCCAAACATTATTGTAAAAAGTGGGAAATATAATTAATGTCTGTCCTGCGCCGTGCCACTGCAACCTGCAGCCAGCTTTTGCCCAGTGAATGCACGAGCTTGCAACTGCAAAAACACTGGATTCATTAACCATCTGAATGCAAAACGTAAGCATGCTTTGAGTTCTTAAAGCTGACCAAAGTTTTTTTTTTTTTAATGTGTATGTTTTACTTCAACAGTGCCAGCCTTTTAAATTGCCATGTAAACAAAGACAACTTTAGGAAAAGTTAGAGCTCCTGAATTCTCCCCCCAACAAATTAATATAGATATGTCCACGTACAGGTAGCTGTCTTATATCAGGTTGGTGCACTATTTTCTTAAGTTTGCTTTAATTCTAATTTTAATGCAACCCCCAATGCAATTTAAGCTCTTGAAACATAATGGCTAGAATACTCTTTTCTAATTATAGTTTTGAACTTGGCAGTTATTTTTCAATTAAATGAGAGCACAATTCAAAGTTTTTTTTTTCAGATGCCTACAAAATCTCCCTGGAGCTAGAAATGAAGTTGTCATATTTGCCTGCTCCTTGAGATCTGAAGGAATTCAATTTCTTTTCTTGTGGCATTTAAAATATAATTTTAAAGTCAATTACAAGAAGGAGTAATCTGCAGTCTGCAGAATTGACTGGTTCACTCATTTGAGTATAAGACATCTCTAATGATTGTCAGAAGATAAACTTTAACTGTAAACGGCTAAATATATTTATAAGAAAAGTACTGCATCTTTTGCCACATGAACATGAAGCATATCTAAATACAACATCAAAAGTTGTGTTAAAGGAAACCAAACCCATACAACACAGGGATTAAATGATGTGGAAGCTCATGCCAGCTGTAGTCTATGCATTATAGCCAAATCAGAAGGATCGGTAAATGCCGTTGTAAATTGTAATTTGTATGCAGTATTTAAGCAGAGGGTGGAGTTTGATGAAGAAATAAAACGAGTATCATGCTTTAAAAAAATGACACAACTATGAAAGCACAGTTCAGTCACAAACTTTCCTTTCAAAGTAGAGGGGTGAAAACAAGGCCACAGCTCTGGAGGAGGCGGCCCCAGCTTGGTGAAGAGGAGAGGGAACCAGCGAACAGGCCAGAAGCCCCCACCCCCCTTACCCCCCTAATTAGACCTACAAGTGCAATAAATCTCACTCCTCTTTTTCCAAGCTAAGCTTCCAAAAGGATGATGCAGCAATGAATCCATGGTTCAGGATACTCCAATCCCCTGCCCTCCCCCACTTAAAATAAAGGGTATGAAGCGATGGAAGGGAAAGTGGAATGAAAAAAACAAAACAAAACACAGAAACAGAGTTTTCTGGGGCAAATAAGCACCCCCTCCCCAAGTTCATGCCAGCACAGCCCCAAGCATCCTCACGCACACGCGGGAAAGAGACACACACCGAGCACATCCAAGACAGAGGAAGGGAGGGGATTTTAAGCCACAGCTCACGATCCCAGGGACACAATCCTGAGCAGGCAGCGGGCGGGGTGGAGGAGCCGAGGAAGGGAGCGCAGGCCGGGAGGGGGAGGCAG